TATATATATATATCTCCTCTCTGCATTCCCTGATTCATCTACACTCCTTGTCAACTTCAACCATTCGACGTTTCCATCCAGCCATCAATTACAATGGCTAATCACGTCCTTGAGGAGACGCAAGTCGTTGTCGGTTCAGAGGCCCCTCCTGCTTTTGCTGAAAAGGGACCTATGTTCCACGCCGATCCTTACAACCAACATGGCGCTGAAATAGATGATGCCACACCTGCGACCGAAGAGGAATTGAGCACTCTCCGCCGAGTTGCTGGATCCATCCCAATAACCGCATACCTGCTCTGCCTCGTCGAGTTTGCTGAGCGAGGTTCCTTCTACGGCGTCAAGCAAGTTTTCAGCAACTTCGTCAATCGACCTCTGCCCGCTGGAGGCAACGGTGGTGGAGCCCCTCCCAGAGGAACCCAACAGACTGCCGGTGCTTTAGGAAAAGGCACTGTCGTCGCTGCCGCTGTTGTGTCTTCGTTCTCCTTCCTCGTCTATGCACTGGTATGATCAGTCCCTCGACTCTTCTCCCTCCAAGCACTTGCTAACAAGGAATAATAGCCCATGTTTGGCGGGTGGCTCGCTGATGCCAAGTGGGGACGCTTCAGAACTATCTGTGTCGGTATTGCCATCTGCGGTATCGGTCACGTTGTTATGGTTATTGCTGCTATCCCTTCGGTACTCCGGGCTGGTAACGCATACGCCCCTTTCATGATCTCGGTATACATCTTGGCTATAGGTTCTGGTAAGTGCTACTTGTCTTTCGAAGGTTGCAGACGCCTTTGACTAACCTATGGTTAGCGCTCTTCAAACCCTGTATTTCCGTCGTTCTTCTTGATCAAAATCCACACAAGAAGCCAGTCACCACGACGCTTAAAACTGGCGAGAAGGTCGTTATCGATCCCGGAGCGACGACCGAAAGGTATGCATTTTCGACTCCCAGGTCCTGTCTTGGCAATACTAACTGGAAACTTATAGAATTATGCTTTGGTTCTACCTCCTCATTAATATCGGTGCATTTTTGGGGGTAGCTACTGCCTACCTTGCCAAGCTGGTCGCATTCTGGCCTGCCTTCCTAGTTCCTGGTATCATCTACTTCCTATTGCCCCCTCTTCTGTGGTATCTACACCCTCGATTGATCCTTCACAAACCGGGCGGAAGTGATTTGGGCAATATCTTCAAGATCCTCGGTATCTGTCTAAGACGAGGCGGCCTAAAGTCAATTGGTCGAAAGGGTTTCTTTAACCACGCCAAGCCTTCTGTAATTGCAGAGAGCAGCCACCCAATCTCCGTTCCCTGGTCCGACTTGTTCATCTCGGATGTCGAGAGAACTTTCCAGGCTTGTGGTATCTTCCTCTTCACCCCGATCTTTTTTATCAATGACGGGGGGTGGGCGGTGCCAGCGATGCCCTCTCAGTCATGCTGACAACAAACGGTGTACCGAACGACGTTATTTCGAACTTCAATCCTCTTGTCATTCTTCTGGGTGTACCACTCTTCAACTATGGCCTGTATCCTCTGCTTCGAAAGTACCGCATTAACTTCGGACCCATTATGAGAATGTTCCTTGGGATGTTGATTTGCTCGATTGGTTCAATTGGCTGGGCTATCATCACTCACTATGCTTACACTACTGGACCTTGCGGTGACCACGCCTCTAGTCTCACCTGTGTTGATGCTGATGGTGTCTCCCTTGTTTCACCCATCTCCATCTGGTGGACTGCTCTTCCCCTCTCCATCACCGCGCTTTGCGAGATTCTCGTCAACGTTACTGCTTATGGAATTGCCTACTCCCGTGCCCCTAAGAACATGAGAGGTCTTATCTCGGCCGTCAACTGCTTCATGTCCGCTATCCAGTACGCCATCAACTTGGCCACTGCACCTGCAATCAAAGATCCCCACATCGTCTGGGCCTTTGCTGGACCTTCCATCGTTGGTTTCGTCTCCGCCTGGGTGTTCTTATACATCTACAAGGACTTGGACCACGAAGAGTATGTCCTCAATGATGATTTGTATAACAACGAGACCGACGCGTCGACTCGTCAATTGAACAGGAACTCGGATGTGGAGCGTGAGAGCAAGGCTGTGGAGGCTGGTGTAGATGAGAAGAACTTGAGACAGTGAGTTTAGAGGGGCCGTGTTAATGGTCATGGTATTGAAGATGATGAAACAGATACACTGGCGTATAGATTTAGCTTGATACCAAAGTACTTAATGATAGTTGCCAAAACACCTTGCATTCTACTTGAAATTTGTGAAATTCCTATAGGCCTCAAAGATTCTCGCAGCCGGTTATTAGCCGCGCCAGAAGGTATAGTCATGTAGGCCTGGCTTGCACCCCCATACCATCTCACTCTGCATCGGTGGCTTCCCACTGCTTTCTCCAACCTCCAACCTCCAGGCGATTAAGTCATATATCGTTTTACGACCGTCTCCATAAACCAAGGAGACATGAAAAACGCGGCATAGTCCGTACAATTTATAATGTGCCAAGTAGCGTGGGACATACAATAAATAAGGATAAGTGTTGGGATAAGGGGCTGCATCCCGACCTTTCTAGTCATGCGATTTAGCGTAGCTTAGTTAGCGAAGAGGCCATCACCTCTTCGCGTCCCACACTTCCACTTTTAGATATTAACAAGAAGCATCATCAACCAGAATACCCAGAATCAAGTCTATACTACGTAGTAGAGAAGTGATCACGTATCAACACCTGTGATACCAACAATCGCCGCTTTTTATGTCAGCGGTTATAGGTAGTTGGCGGTTCTCTTACAGGGAAGGCTACCTACAGAAGTCAATAGATTTAGCATTTCGAATTCGAAACTTTTCCAACCAGCGTTATAAGTCCTATATTGTAGTATTTTACAGCATTCCTAGGTAGGTAGGTAGGTAGGTATAAAAGGACTGTTAATTATAAATAAACCCTTAGCTTACGCTCTTTATTACCTAAGCTTCCCTAAGGTACCTTATACTGGGCATGAAAAGCCGCACTTACGTATACGGAGTTCTCTTATCGGTCGAATTTGAATCATGTGTTACGTAGGTACCTGGCATACTATAAATTGTGTGCCGCGGCTTAGCTTTTCTCAGTCCACCGGTTACGTGCACGTGGAGACAGCTGTAAAACAGTACACTAAGGTAACCATGTTCCCTGCGCAATCTTTGGATTGGGGCCTTGACTACGTTATAGCTATGCTAGATGATGCATCTATATAGAAGTGGGAGTAAGAGGAGGCTGTGGGGGAGGGTGACATGTTGAATGCTATTTAGTTAGCTCAGGGGGAGAGGAGAGAGGATGTACGATTATGCGTTATAGTAAGAGAGGAAGTATGTTATAGTGATCATGAGTAGGGAAGTAAGATTACGCTCTACTACGATTACGCTTTATGTGAGGAGAAAAGTAGTAACAATTGCGCTATAGTAAGTGGGGAAACATAATAGATTGTTTAGTCTAGTAGTGTTTAACGCCGGGGGAGAGAGGCCATTGGCTTCTTAAAAGCCTCCCGAAGGGCATTAGGGCGTGAATAGCTAGGTAAGTTACAAGTGATATACACCAAGCCCAGAAGCCAAAACCCAGCCATATACGCGCCGAGCACGTGCCCATCTAGCCAATGTTCTCCGTCCGCCATGCGAAAGAAATATTTGTACAGTGAGTTTCGCAAAGGTAGTTTGTTGTAGCGAGAGCCAAGGTTATGAGCCCGGTCAGTGAATGGGGGAGCATGATAGAGGAAGTGAGAGAGGAAGCTTACATGCACCTGTGAGGGAGAGGTGTACAGAAACGCTCCTACCACTCCACTGTACCTTCCTAAACCAATTAGAATCGCCCCCTTACTCTACTATGACTTTTACTAGGCTTCTATCTCGCCTAGCGTAACAAGGAATGCTATCTCGGTTTTTTGAGCCCTCACTTCTAGCAAATAGGCTGAATTCGGGATACGCGGAGAAGGAGAAAGTAGACACTAGCGCTAGCAATAAGAGTTAAAGAAGAAAACTGAATTGCTAGAAGCTGATCACAGGCAGTATTGTGAAAGTGAGAGGTTGAAAGAAAACCCCAATCACATATGCGAGGAAATCGACAACCCTTTTTCACGATGGAATGTACAGTGGAATGTAAAGTTCATATCATGCCAAAAGAGTCTGAAGCCGTCGGGAACTGGTTGCTACCTAGGTAGGTAGTCGCAACTTTTTATAGTGATTAGTGGCTCTTTCCGTATTCCAATCCGAGTAATGACTTGTCCAGAGGTTATAAAAAAAACCTGTTGATAGAGAGTGCTAGCACAGTCCTGCGATATGCAACGAAAACGAAGCCTTTGGACTTTTAGGATAGAAAGTTAACGCAGTCGTGCAGTCCCATGGAAAGCATGAACTTCATGCGGAGGATGATATCACTGCATGGTTTGCATGAATCTTAGTAGGAAGCATAGGGGAAAATCTTTTGGAATTATAATGCAGGAATAAAGCGTGATGTGCCAGGGGAGAGAAGTCTTGACCTCAGTGTGCCCTTGCGACAGCTACCTAGCCCAATGTAAAATTTTGGCAATGCAAGGTTGTTGTCTATATCGCATGAATTATAGATTAAGACGATGAGATTTTCGTACTGAAAGGGCGAGAGAAAGGCGATTCACCAAAACAGAATAGGGAAAGTTGATTTAGACGTATTGCTCGAAAGTCATCTTTTCGGGCGATGAGTTACGAGAGCATGGGCAGTTACTTGAACATGACATAAAGGACTACTTTGAATCAGAGCGCCTCAATAGCATGTAATAACAATACAATCCGGGATTAAACCCATTGAGAGTATTAAAAGCACTGGAAAAGATCGCATGTCGCATGTTTATCGTCTTTAGATCTTTGGAAACTCGGCTTCGTATAAAACATTTATGTACAAGCATGACATGAAATCTATTTCTTTGGCTCTTCCTTCTTCTCTTCGGGTTTCGGCGTAGGCAGCTTGAAGGATTCGGGCTTTCTATCCACACCAGCCCCAACTTGCTGTAGGATGTCAGTATATAATCACCACTAATCCGAACAGTAAAACATACCTCCCATGCGGCTGAACCACCCTCAAAGTTCCGGAACGCTTGTGTCAGCTCCAATGGCTCCACAACAATCCTCTTCTTCTCTTCATCGTATCTGATTTCCGTGTACCCCGTCAAAGGGAAGTCCTTTCGTAATGGATGGCCGTCAAAGCCGTAGTCCGTCATGATACGTCGAAGGTCTGGATGTCCAACAAAGAATACTCCAAATAGATCATAAACCTCTCGTTCATACCAGTTTGCTCCATCGTACAGGCTCGTAATACTTGGGACTGGAGATGCCTCGTCCGCATATGTTTTGACCCGGATTCGGGAGTTGTGGCGCACACTCAGCATATTGTAGACGACTTCGAATCGCTGGTCTCGGGTGGGAAAGTCGACAGCAGTGATATCCGATACTTGAGTGAACTCCGCAGAAGTGTTGTCTGGAATCTTGTCAGCACCCTCTTCTGGCCGGATTGGAACAACTGGACACTTACATTTAAGAAATGAAAACACGGGGATTACTCCAGATGGAGAGATATAGATGACCAGCTCATCCTTCCACACAGAGAATTGCTGAATGTACTTTGGCATACAACCCATGAGCCATGATCCATACCGATGCAACTCCTCTGCCTTTACCGCATACTTGTCGGCGGGGTTAACCGGGGCTCGGCGAAGTCCTTCTGGAGGATCCGGATCTCTCTGGGCGTGTCGCAGGTTGGGGGTATCCTGAGAGACTACAACCCGAGCAGCTTGAGAAGAAGTGAAGGCGCGAGTATAGGTGTTGCTCTCGCTGCGGCGAATGAAGACATTCCTGGTGGCACTGAAGGCCGAGCCCAGCGCGCGACGATTAGCCACCCTCATTGCCGTCATGGGGTTGTGAGAGGTGGTGGATGTGGCGCAATTGCAGAGACAAATACAATGGATGTTCGAACTCAAGGCTCTTGAGGTCAAGCTCATCTTCATCTTGCTCGTTAATTCGCCTCGTGTCCATCGTCATTGGTCGACGTCCAGCCCTAGCCGCATCCGTGTTAGCGTCCGTTTATGATTTCCTGGTTCACCCTTTCCTATTCTCTCGACTCTCCTACTTCTTCACGTCGCCCATCATTTCTTGCAGTCCCCTCCTTCTTCTCTGTACACCACCACCGCATAAACCGTCCGCGCCCGCCCTCGTGCATGCATCTATAGAGGCGAAACGTCCCTATCATTTACATATAATTCACATTCCCTCTTCCGACGCGCCGTCTCAAGCATTTTCAGGCGCGCCATTCCTAGCCTTTGCATTAGACGTCACACCCTTCCCCAGACCGCCTCAGCGCATCTCTGAACCTCTCCAAACGCCCAAGATGGCGCCCCAAGATATGTTCATCGATGAGGAGGATGATACCTGGTAAGTCTTCTACCTCTTTACCCTCGTCTTGAGCTTCCTAGAGCTTACATCCGTTCATCTCGAGCCCTTATTAACCATGTGTACAACAGCCCCCTCTGCGTAGAAGAGTTCGATCTTTCCGACAAGAACTTTCGACCATGCCCCTGCGGGTACCAGGTACGCATCTTTGCCCCGCAGATCTTGACATTGCGCAATTTTTGACACTTGCCACAGGTCTGCCAGTTTTGTTTCAACAATATCAAGAATAATATGAACGGCCTATGCCCTGCATGTCGAAGACCCTATGACGAGAAGACAATAGAATGGAAGGTGGTCACACCCGAAGAGTATGTCCTTTCGTCCAGGTCCTTGCTTTGTACTGACTGTCCAAAAGGGTAGCACAGTTCAAGGCGAACATTCAAAAGAACGCAAAAAAGAAGGCCGAACAACGACAAAAAGAGGCACAAAAGCGAGAGGTCGAGAGTCTAAACCGAAAACATCTTTCAGGCCTCCGAGTTGTGCAGAAAAACCTGGTTTACGTAACGGGGCTGAATCCTACTTCTGGTAAAGATTCACTTTTGGATTCCCTCAGAGGCCCGTCGTACTTTGGCCAATATGGAGATGTCATTAAGGTCGCAGTCACCAACAAGACTAGACCGACCGATGCATCCAATGTGGGCGTTTATGTTACCTTTTCGACGAAAGAGGAGGCACAACGATGTATAGCTGCAATAAACAACTCACAAAACAACGACCGAACGCTGCGGGCATCTTTAGGGACTACGAAATACTGCTCGGCATACCTTAGGAACGAGACTTGCACCAATAAGAACTGTATGTTCCTTCACGAACCTGGCGACAATGATGATAGTTATTCTCGACAAGATTTATCTTCAATTAACAGCGTTAATACACAACGACCTCTCCCTCCCACTGCCTCTTCCTCACGCCAAGCACCTTTACAGCATATGCAACCCGTAGCTGCTGCGGCGCAGCCTATGCATAGAGAATCGAGTAAGGATGGATCGGACAGCGGTGATGGCTCGGCTCTACCGTCTTCTGCAAGCTGGGCAAACAAAGGCATGCAACAACGCAGCCGAAGAGGAAGCCACGCCACAAGTGGTGCTGCTTCAAGTCCGGCAGCCTCGCAAGCAATGCCTGCGACAGCTGAGGTTATGGAGGAGCCAACTCCTGTTGAGGAAGCCGTACCTGAACCTTCAAATCCTGTCCTGGCATCGGAAACTGAATCGCCATCACCGCGACCGCACAAGAACCAAGAGTTCGCGGAACTCTTGCTAGCGATCACATCACTTCCATCCATACAGACCATCTCGATCCCAGAACTACCATTCCCGCCACTGTTCGATACCAACGGTGGCGCAAAACGTAGGGCTATGCGAGAGCAAAATGAGGAGGAAGCGAGACTTAATATTGAACAAGAATCACTGTCAGACATCCGCTCTACCGCAGAACCATTGGAAGAAGAGGAACCTGAAAGTGGTAGTTTGCAACTTGGTGGGGAGCCGGAGGATAGTGGACGTGAGATCCCGCAAGGCTTTCAAAGACGCCCCAGTGCCCAACTCCCAATCCAACGAACCAACAACGGCCCCGGGGCTGCAGGTCTAGCCTTTCCTCGTAACCTCAGCAATCTCAGCTCAATAAACGGCCGCACCTTGACACTCCAGCAAAGAGACTTGCTGCTGAACAATCAAAATCCTTCATCTAGTTTTGCAGACCAGTTCTCTCCTGGAATGGCAGGTCAGTCAAATCAAAGCGCTGGGCTGTTCCAGCAACAAGGTCACAACAGACAGTCAAGCCGATTTAACTTCTCAAACGAAAATCCATCGTTACCGTCCATCAAACCATCAGCCAATCCGAAATTGATGGCACAACAATCATCAATGATGCCATCCGTGAATCACACCCAAAGCAGTCAATTCTACGGCGGTTCCATGCCGCCTCCACCTGGTCTGAAATCAGCAGGAACCCCTCCTGCTGGGTTTGGTCAAAATCACGCATTTGGTGGTTCAATGGGCGGTGCTTCGGCTTTCAATAGGGTGCCAAAAGGCAACGAGAACGAAATGCTGCAGGATATTTTTCGAGGCCGTGGTAATGTTGGGAGTGGGCAGTCTCATGATACAGGCAAGCGTGAGTTTATGTTTCCTTCTTTTCTTCAACAGTACCCATCTGCCTCCTCCACTCCAGCTCCTGCTTCAGGCCTGGCATCGCTCTATGGTTCTCAGCCTGGAGCTTTCCATGACTACAGTCAAAAGCAGAAGAAGAAGGGAAAGAAGCACAGACATGCTAACACTTCCTCCTCTGGAGGGGGTGGCCTAGTCGATCTTGCGGACCCGAGTATCTTACAGGCGAGAATGCAACACCAACAACAGAGCAATGCCGGAGTCGGGCCGGGCGGACTGTTTGGATCTCAGGCTCAAGGTGGGTACAATTCGAACATGATGTATGGTGGTGCGGGATACCCCAGGTGGTGATATCGAGAAAGGGCGTTACACAGGGCTGGGCTATTGTAGATATTGCTTTTCATTGCGGGTTGCGCGGGCAAACCCCATTTCAGGCGTTGCATGGCTTCATATGCATTCTTGTTTTAGCGAGCATAGGAAAGGCTCCAAGATGGAAGCTTAGGCTCTGGCGTCAATTTGCGATTGGACACTGGGGGTGTCAAGGGATTGCTCTCCTTATTTATTTGTTTAATGTTTGGGCGCAGACATGCTGGCAGGCATGACGAAAGGTCGCATCGGGAACTCCATCATCGTCTTCATCGGGACCCTCTTTCTTGTACGTTATAGTCCCCGAACCCTTGCCGTGGCGGCAGGTCAATATAGCATTCTCACATATTTTGTGCCATCAGTAGTATCTCCTGAGTTCGAAGACGATGATGGACCTGTGATGTGACAATGTATTATAGTCAGGCCCTGTGTATCAGTCGGTGGTTGGAGGTTCTCACTATTGCATTATTGGAATATCCACTTTGAAGATACATCGAGCTGACTTTCTTTTGCCATAGAAGACCCAAGCCTCGACGAAGCAACTTCAGCAGAAGTCGATGCTCTAGTCGCCGATGATACGACCGATGATTACGGATCCTACCCAAATGTTTTGGATGCATCACGGTCGTCAACACCATCTGTACCTCCTGGGTTCCTCCCTCAACATCGCCTGTCGAATTTCCATGAAGCGCCTGCAAAAATTCCATCACGTATTCTTGCCACGTCTGCTCCATTTGTTCCACCGTCTACGACACCTCTCGCAAGTGTTGCAATCCCGGAAAGCTCTGCACCTGCAGCATCTCAAGCGAAACAAGAGCTGAGACAGCTCGCCACACAGAAGGGCTTGACGAAGGAAATCGCATCTCAATCCTCTCAGCCAGCTGTTCAAGCCGAAGAATATCCAGCTTTGGGGAGTGAGAAGGCGAAAGTTCCATTGACGCCAACGCCCACGCCCAGCAAGATAAATCTAAAGCCAGCATTTACCACCACCAGTAAGAAACAGTTGTCGATAACCCTGGCGACTGCTCAGACACCTTCCAAAAGTGATAGACGCGCTACACCTCTTAGTGTCGTAGTACCTTCAAAGGTCCCAACTAAGACACCTACAGATGTGCCTGCTCACGCTCCTTCCGGGGCGGGATTTCCACCGCTACCTCCTAGCACTCCATCTGCCTCTTCGACCCAGTCGCCTGCCACAAGAAATGCTTCAAAACCCCAACGAATTGCGTCCACTGTGAAGTCAGATACTCCAACCGCTGGAAGCGCTACGCCATTTTCCATGACATCAAACTTTCCACCACAACTGCCATCGTCTCGTCAACCAAGTCTTGCATCAATGTCCAGACATGAACGTCCTGGCACGCCCACAAGCGAGATGATATCAGACAACGCATCAATCACATCTACTTCCATGTCAAGAGCAAACTCTCCCCCACCATCCAAGATTGGTTCTGCTCCGGTTAAAACAACCACGAGAAGCGCGCGAAAGAAACAGGTTGAGCAGAAAAAGAAGGACAGGCTTGATATGGAGGTAGCTGCTGCCGAACAGGAGCCTAAGGTTGAGGAAGTTGGCCCAATCATGGGAAGGAAGAGAAAGCAGAAAAAAGATCGGATTATCTCCAGCGCTGCAGGAGGTTCTACACCTGCGGCCAGCCGGCCGCCATCGCCTAGCCCTGTAGATACTGCATCCACATCAGCAGAGCAGATCTCCAAAGCCTCACCTATTGAACAGACTCACAGTCAAGACCAGCAGTCTTCGGTCGAACCCGAGATTGCTAAACCGTCACGAGGGCATGACGCGAAGACCAAGGGCAAAGCCAAGAGTCGAACCTCGGCATCTGTAACAAATACAACACCAGAGCCTGTACCTGCGCCTCCACCAGCCGAAGTCGAAGAAGAAGGAATCACTACCTACAAACCCATTCCAACTCCAGCCTCAGTGCTACATGAACTTACTGCTTCCGGCGAGATCTCAGACACTGCTCAACTTGCAATTTTGAAGGAAAAGCCCGGAACAAACGCCCGATCCCATCACGACGTGGAAGTCCAGGCCCAAGGCCAAAAATTGACCATTACTACGGAAGACCGAGCAGCCTTATTTGCGGGCAAACCAGTTCGGAAGAATGGTGACGGCCCAACTCGCATTCTGCTCACTCCCAATGGAGATTATGTACGCAACCTCACCGCCGAAGAAGAGGATCGGTACTTGCAGCTTCAGGCTCGCCTTGCCGAAGAAGCAGGAGCCACGGCTTTCGTATCCACCAAACACAACGCCAACAATGGCTTCACGCTTATTGGAGGTCGCGCAGTTCCCAATGGCCCCCCATCCTTCTTCCCTGCTCCAGCCGGCACCGTATCCCCACTTGATCCTGTCAGCAAGATCCAGCGTGACGAGGCACTCAGCTATATCAACCAATACGTCCTGCCCTCACTATCCACCAACTCTCAACTCGAGAAGGCCTTGAACGCCAATGCTTTGGATGCGGAGTTGACTCGCTCTACCGACAGCGCTGGCTTTCCATCGTGGAGCACTCACCAACACGGTGACACCAATGGTGATGCGCATGATCAGGCAGGTATATTAGCCAATGGCCTTGACAGCATGACGGCGCATTTCGCAGTCGGCAGAGACGGCGACAGCGGTCGACCTCTGGGCAATGTATCGCTGCTGAGCCTTCCAGAAGCAGAGACCGCAATGCAAGCGGCAAGGAAGGAGGCGGAGATCATTGAGAAGAAGCTTATTGCTTTAGTAAGGAAGAACAAGCGCATGTTGCTTGGTTCCGGACATTGAGCCCGGGGAACGGAATTGATTGATGAATCCTCTCACGAATCTGCATACGTTTTTTATTACTGCCTTTCGTTTTCGGCGACATCCTGTATTATGTATGATTCTGTATGATAGTGATGACTACTATTGGATACTTTGATCATGAGGATCGAAGCTTAAGGATTAGGGAGGGTTATTATTGTTGCCTCTAAAGGGCGGGCGTTAATGCTTAAGCGGAAGTGTAGGAAGCCCAGACAGAGTTTTATAGCGATAGCACTCAACTCCAGCGTTGTGACATAGACCTCACTCAATAGAATAAATAAGCCTATGCCAAATATTGGGATGTATCATATAAACCGTTTGAATTCCTTCCTTCTAACTTGACCGTCCTCGCGCTTGTTCTTCCCTTATCTCCATCTGAACGTGAGTAGAAAGAGTACTGGGTTAAAAGGGGGACTAGTGACTGCAAATGTGGAATATGGGAACCAGGAAAATCGAGTCGAGTCGAGTATCGGACTATAGAGCCCCTTACCGGGCGCAGTGGTAATATGACAGATACTCAGAAGAGAGGGGATATTTGAGTAATGATTTGATTTGCACTATTATGTACACTAAAAGGTATGCAGTATCCATATACCACACAGTCTTTACACTGCAATTCCCCTCCTACTCCACCCATCCCTCCCCTTCCACGCATACACCAAAAGCGCACACCCGATCCACACACTCGCCGCCATGCCCCAAAAAGTACTCGCGTAGCACCTCTTCCCATAGCACAACACGTCCTCCGCATCATCCTGGCTATATGAAGGAATCGTCGCAGCCCACTGATAAACATTAGAATACACAACTCCCCACACCGTAGCTCCCAATGCAGGAACCATAGCCACGATGCCCCAATTCGTACCAAAGTTCTCGACGCCCCAGATCACGGTGATTATCAAGGGGGTGAGGCTGAATATCGCGCCGTAGCCCGAGCCGATGAGCGTAGACACGATCCAGAAGCGCTCGCCGTGGTTCTGGATAGCGCCCGAGGCGAGAATCACTTCGCCGAGGGAGAGTAGGAGGGCCGTGCCGAGGAGGAACGCTATGCGGGAGATGGCGAAGGGTTTGTGGAGCGGGCGTGGGGGCAGCGAGGAGAGCGAGTTAGAGACGGAGCCGTAGTGGTGGCGTACCGTTGTCGGGGCGAGGAGGTCGGTTAGGGATCCGAAGAGAATACGTGCTATGGTTGAGGTGATTGCTACGATGGAGACATGGGTGGCGGCTGAGGTTGGGATGCGGTTTGGGTCGCGGCCGGGAGGGTATAGGGTGCCAATTATGGTACCCAAGTTGGTGATGAATGCTTCCCCGGGGCCTAGAAATTGTTAGAATGAAGTAAGATTGTAAACCAGAAATAACGTACCGGAGATGAAGAAGAAGCTCGCAGCGAGGCACCACATGGTTTTGTCTTTCAGAAACCTACGGGTCTCCTCGTTCAAGAGCCAGGTCTTCTTCCGAGCCTCTTCCTCTTCCAGAGCTTTTGCCTCTTCAACTCGGCGAGCTTCTTCAGCCTCTTCGTCACCACTCTCAATAGAGCCATAACCCCTATCTTCTCCTCGTCTAAAGAACTCACTATCCTCCAGAAGACCGCTCCTCTCAAGCTCCTCCACAGCTTCATCGATCAACTCATCTTCATCTACAATCTTCAATGTAAATGTCCCAAGCAAGCCCACCACAACCAGCGTGATAGCCAAAAACAAGAAGAACTTGAACACATCTACATCACCCCTGGTCCCGTCGAACTTCCTCTCATATAAAATCCGACTCCCAACCTGGCTTTGCCACATCCCGGAGAGCCCGAACGCAGCAATGGGAGAAGCCAAGGCCAACCCTCTATACTTCCCCCGGCCAAAATTCTTCGCACAAGTAGTAACGGCACTGATATACATAGCCGTAGTCGCCAAGCCAATAATCACAAAAGCTACAACCATCACCCAAAGTGGCCAGCCCCTCTCATGTGTATATCCCATGATATCTTTCGCCCCACTCCTGTATGTCAACGCCGCAAGCAGATATCCAAGACCAAACATAACCGAGGCCGCAAATGATAGCGGCGCAGGTCCAACACGATCACAGAGATAACCAAATATCGGTACCGGTAGATAGAGAGCTAGTTCGGCTGCGATAATCACGATGTTGACCTGTAGCTGCGTGTACCGGAGTCGTTCCTGGAACAAGTGGCCATAGAGCGAATACGCGGTAATGGAACCCGCGCAGAGGCAGGACAGGATGGCGGAGGAGAAAGCCACATAGCGGGTTATGTCTCGTTGTCTGGATTGTGCTTTTCGGGCAATGGTCGAGGAGGAGATGGAGGAGTCATCATCGTTTGTGAGGAGGGGCGTCTGGGATGAGGCCATTGTCGGGTTGTTTGGACCGTACCTACTACCGTGGAGATGGCATAAGAAATGGATATGAATACCTATATGTACAAAAGAGTGAGTGAGTGGATGGTTTGGTGTTTACTTGAGTCTTGACAGCTCTCAGAGCACGACATCAGTGACGAGGACGAGCTGCTCCGCTGATGCAAGCGCGTCAGGGTTCAGGACCCCGCTTTTTCTTCACTCTGTGCTCGCACTCGCACTCGCACTCGCACTCGTACTGGCACCAGTACTCTTTCTCTCCTTCGTTTCATTTCACTCATTACTCATTACACATTGGAGTCTTGATTCACATCTCAGGTAATAGATGCATATAGAGGTAGTTGTGCTTGCTATTAATTGCTATCAACACCGACAGAAGATCCCGTGTGTGGATGATACAGATACAGCTACCAGCATTGAAATAATGCCATACCTTAGCTTTCAAATCTTCAGACATCTGGTTTGATTTGAAGGCATCGTGCATTTAGAGTTACATTTAAAGTTGAGAGAGGTGGCTGCGGACGATGGCACCGCAACGGTCCGGTCAACCCCACATAAAGCCGTTGGCGGTGCCTCGATAGCATGCTGGGGCGTGTAAAGAGAACGTCGCCGATGTGGGGGACCTTGCATGCCTTTTCGTGCAGGCTCAAGACCAATGCTGCAATATCATTCGATGCGTATTCATGCGTCGTACCATTCTGCCCTCAACTCCCCAACGACAACCCAATCCGTCCCCCGTCTCGTCAAGCGGCTCAAGCACCATTCGTTATACGTCTTGGTCGCCGACCAGTATCCCGAGTAGTATCCCGAGTAAAGCTCCCATTTCAGCCGCAATGGATTCAAATAACCCTCTAGAGACACCCGCCGGGCAAGAGCAAGGGCAGGCCGCTGTGAGCTCAGGCTCGGACCAGGGCTCCTCGCCAATCGACCCCAAGAACGTACAACAGAGCTCAGTCTCCCCCCAGAACAACGATCAGCTTAATAATAATAGCAAGGAACGGGAAAGGATCACTGTGCCCTCGGCCTGTGTGCCATGTCGGTCAAAGCACTTAAAGTGTGATGGCCTGAGCCCGTGCACAAGGTGTTCTTCCAACGGCTTCGAGTGTCTTTACGTGAGAAGTCGACGCGGTTTCAAGGGCCCGCGCAAGATCGGACTGCAGGGCAAGGCCTCATCTATACCGATACCGGGTGCGCCGCAAGCATGTCCCCTTATAACCCCACCAACTGCAACTTCAAGAGCCCCTTCAAATGTCCCGACTGGCCTGCCTACCCCACCAGACCACCACTTGCTATCAGGTAATACGGATTTGCAGATATTTGAAGTGAACCCAGATCTAGCTACATACAGTCCAAGACCGCTTTCCTCTGGCTTGGACCTTCGAGAAAGATGTATCGAAGCCTTCTTCTACCACTTTTGGCCAACGCATCCCTTCATGCTTCCTCGGGCAAACTTTATGGCCCTGAGGAGGGAGAGGCCAGTTGATCAGCTGGAAGCTGCAATGCGATATGTCGGCTCATGTTATGTTTCACAAGCACCGACCACAGCCCTAGAAGCAGAGGCTGAACGCTCTGTCTATAATGCCGACTATGTCAACGATGCTTTCAGGGTCCAGGCCATGTTGATTCTTGCAATTGGTCTCGATGGAAATACCCAGCAGGAGAAAGCGCTGCAGATCCTCACCGATGCTGAGGATATCGCTTTGGATATTGGCATGAATAAACGCAGCTTTGCTTTTCTAAACTCAAACGGTTCGCCAGTATTAGAAGAGAGCTGGCGCCGAACTTATTGGGAGCTATTCCTCATCGATGGCATGATCGCTGGGGTTCATCAGAAGAGCTTTTTTCGAATGAAGGATGTTATCGCCGATGTCCTCTTACCATGCGAAGAATGCGAATATATCTCTGGGGTATGCAAATTTAATCCCTTCTGAAGAATGGCGTGCTAACGTAAGTAAAGGTTATTCCTCAAGCACGCTCAGTTGGGGATTTTGAAGACGAATCATTTGACGGTAAAGACTTCAGCTTCTCTTCATATGCTTACAGGCTGGCCGCAATTCGAAATCTTGGCAGGATTCTCACCGTAAAACTGAGTGGTGCCCCACTAGATTCACCAGCTGTGCATAGACTTGATGCTCATCTGGTCAACTGGAGACTCCATCTACCGGAACCAAAGAGGACTTGTATAAGTAAAGATGGGGTGCTCGATGAGATGTTGTTTCAGGCTCACATGATTACAGCAGCGTTAGTATTAAAGCCTCTTGGTTGAGGACCTTGAACTGACTGTAGAACAGAACAACTGTCCAGCTTCATAGAGAGCTTTCTGAACTGGATTCCAGTGTAGCCAAAGATGTCACATCATGCGCGCCTCATAAAGAAATTGTCCCAGGGGAATCATACAATGTACACGCTGCGAAGACTGTTCAAGCCGCGCAAGACATATCTAAGCTTATCGCGATTCCGGTTCCTTTGCTTAAGCACACGCATTTCTTCACCTGCGTCGTTACACTTGGATCGATTGTGCATCTGTCCTGCTGGTCATTACTCATGCCGCTCACCCATGATGACGATCTCAGACAGCAGCTCCGTCTCAACACAGGAGCTTTGAAGACCCTGTGGCAAGTCTGGCCTTCTGCGGGTAGAGCCTTTCGGCAGGTCAAAGGAGTAGCACAGGACATCTTCGCGGCTAAGAAACAATTGGTGGAGAATGGATACTGGCCCACTCTTACTGATGAGGATGTCATGCAGAACATGATTCAGGACCAGAGTATTTTGGACGAGTTGCAAATTCCCGAATAATGTTCTTTTCTTGGGTTTCCGGTGTGGGCGGAGGGGTCGCGCGTGGCGTTTGTCCTTTGGATTGTTGGAGTGTTGGAGTGTAATACTATCCAAAAAGTGGGCAAAGGAATTTGGGAGTATCATCTGTTATATAACGAGACCTACGAAGTAAATCTTCATGCTAAAAGTCACTCATCATCATTGTCTTGTTTCCGATGGATTTTACAATGTCACGTGGAAGACCCCACCTCAAATTAACGCGACTCTCAAGGACAGACGCGTGCGTCAAACTTCCCAACGCCGTCCTCTCAAGAGCCCAAAATCCAACTAACATACTCCCCGGACTTGCCAAAGCTACAGAGCCACATCTGTGATAAATTGCCCTCAACTCTCTCTAATCATGGAGTCCACCGACTCTACAACCGCGTCCGCTACATCGCCCAACGAAGACCTCTCCCCGCTCGAACAAGACGTGCTAGATGAGTATGAGCGACTCGCAGAGAATATGAAAAAGGTACATACAATCCACATCCACGTCCAAATCCAACCCGCTGCTCCCTAAGCCCTCCTTCAATGAGATAGCGGATGTTGAATATGGAATGTATGTTAATAGGTAATGTGATGAATTAGTTTGCAAGCCTGCTCGATACGATGGCCGGTAAACCTACGGCGGAAATACTGGATGGGCTGAGGCAGTTGGAGAGGAAGACGAGCTTGGTGTTTACGCTTCTCAAGGCGAGTGTGTATAGCATTGTGTTGCAGCAGGAGATATATTCGGGGGATCAGGTTAGGGGGCAGGAGGGGTAGATGATGGGGCAGAGTGGCATATATGAAGGAAGAAGGCATGCAGGCTGGAAGACAGGGAGACCCCCCTACTGGGCCACGAAGCAACGAAGCACAGGAAACTACGGCGTTTGGAAGATACCCGGGATGATATGTATGTAAATAGAAGAGAGTTGGTGATTGCAGGACAACGAATTGTCTTGGCTGTGCTTCATGCTATATATACTGCGCCTGTCTATGCAACTCCTACTCATACACGAGTCTTTTCCAACTATACAATTTATACACGACCTGCATAATACACCTTCCGTACATCTACAAGCTTCTTCCCTCTCCCACGCGCGACCTCGTCTGGGATCCTCTGCTTCATCAATGCCTCGTATGTTGCCTTGACAGTGTTCATCTTGTTTCGGGAACGTGGGACTCTGGCGGCGAGGTCCTGGATACCGGCGGCGCGGGCCATTTCGAATATAAGGTGCTGGCAGCGCAGACCAAACCCTGGAACGTATTAGCTTCTATATGATGCTCTGTTGAGAAAAAGAGACGTACCTGGTGGTCTGGACATAAGCTTCACCTCAGCAGCAGAAACCTTCCCTTCCACTTCTCCATAGATCGTGCGCTCTTCATACCGCGGAATTGGTTGCATGTTTCGAATAGCTTGGATCCGTGCATTCATCATGGCATCTTCAAGTTCTTGTCCCTTTGCTTGTCCCAACCCCAATCTGCCATCCCCATTCCCAGCAATTGCAAGAATGTACATACTTTGGATCTTGCCCAAACGAGTTTGATTGACAACGCGATGTTTGACCAATATCTTCACATTGTATTTGAGAATTTGGTCTAAGCTCAAGCCCGTCTGTTTCCTTAGAAGATCGTATCTTCCGTCTGGATCTCTCGGATCTTCATCTTCACCCTTCGTCTCAGCCTCTGGATCTACAGCTGACTCGAAATTGCGAGGAATTCCTGGTGCAAGCATAGACTCGCTCTTCAAAGGGCCATTTGAACCTATCATGTCTGGAACCTCGTCCCATGATTTGAAAAGATCGAGTCGGTTTGGACGGAGCTTCTTGGCCTGCTCTGGATCTTGGCGATCGAAATCAATGGGCACTTCGTTCTCGTCCATAATCTTCATGAAATAGTCCTTGTGATGCTGGGCGTACTCCTCTGGCGTCATAAGCCTCTCCTTTGGATCAATAGGGCCCTCCCTCTTAATCTTCTTGTCTATCGTCGGCTGCATCTGACTGAAATCATCGAGGTAACTGAGACTCCCCCAGTCCGTACGTATCACACCCCGCTCGCTGAGGTCGTCGGGGTCGATTGCCTCTTCCGCAGCTTCGATAGCTTCCATTTGCGCAGGCGTGTACCTTTTAGCAAGAGCAGCCTTCTCTTCTGTGTCATAACGCTTGAAAAGATCTCGAGCTGCTGGCTTGGAGACAAGGCCCATATCGGAGGCTTTGATGCTGGCATATCTGGGCTTTCGTCTCTCGCAGAGGTTAGGGGATGAATGAAGGTTTCGACAGCGAATGCGAGGCCGTATTGTCGGTATCGAGGGGGCCGGGAAAAGACATCTTGCAGGTCTTGAGACACTCATCACTCTAGAGTATGAATGTTGTGTTGGCGCCGCTCAATGGCTCAATTTTGCTACTGCTGAACTTTTTTTGGATGCACGACGACGCGAGTTGAGGTGATCTAGCTATTGTGGCCTGACATCCCAGGTTACAAGTCTCGCGAGTTCCAGGCCAAGGTTTTATCAACAACCTTCAATCTCATGTATCTAGATTTTTACAAGGAGGAACACGTTCACACTCTCATTCTTGCAGATATACCTGGTAGGTATACTTGATAGTATCACATGCTCTTGCTCCTTCCTCATCGGTCTCCTGAAGTCGAAGACTAGACAACCTAGCGCCCTCTAAACCGCAGTCTCCAAATCCTTTAAACCATTTGCAATTGCATATATGGGCAAAGTTTATTCGTGTGTCATGTAATACCGCTACAAAATGTCATCCTAGGTGATGAATGCTTTGCGATGTGAGAGACAAATGCTTCGAGATGGGCTGAGATGCGTTCTTTTAGCTCAAGTTTGAATTTATGAAAAGCAAGCGCAAAACGCCCCCCAGATGCTACACCTGAAAGCATTGCAGGATCTTATTTTTGAATATCGCAGCGGAATTACGTTAGCTTTAAGTGTGAGATCTACTCCTTTCAAAGAAAACTTCAGCGGCCTTGCCAAGTGGCGTGGCCAGCCGCAGGCGGATCACCGCAATGACACCACGAAGGAACTAAATACAGACAAGAAGACTAAACGGGAATGTAAATGAACTGCGCAGTTTCTGCACTGATGGTTGATCATGAGTAAGGTAGGAACCATTTCATATTCTGTATGTCGAACAAAGTCCTCTGCTACTCCCAAGCACCTCGAATTGTGTTAGTGACCAAACCCATATCAATCTATATAATGTGAAAAGCGGCTAGCTTCATTTTTGTTATTTGGTACCCCCTAATTTGGCTTCAAGTAGTCTACCTAGAAAGTTTTAGATCAAGAGACACCATCTTCCCAAACGGACTAAGCCATACACTTACACATTCTGCTTCACGGCATCACGTCAGTTCTGAAATTTCAACACTGGTTCTTCGCACTCTATTGAATTTACCTACATGTTCCTCGAATGAGCTGTCCCATGCTCCATCAAGACCTTCATCACTCTAATTTCGAATATACCTCACAAGTCAGATGACGATATATAACAACTATATATCTACGATTCCCTCGTAGATAATCATCACTCCGGCGACCTTTCGAGTCATTGCTGGTGACAGTAGGCCACAACCCACATACCCACCATAACAACTATCCCAACACAGAGCCCATAACGATCAAAATACATTCAAATGTCATCTCAAAAGATAGTCCGATTGAGCACCTCCCAAGTCAGGCCAATGCTCTCGGAAACACAATCGGCGCAAACAGGAGGAAGTTTCGATTCTGGTAATTCCCTATTAAGCAAATCAGAATGTCAGGAATGGTTCAAAGTTTCCTCTGCAAGCAACTCCCCTTGTGAAACAAGCCTTCATATGCTGACTTCCGCGTCCATCAATAATGCTCTGGATTTGCTCACCAACAGATCTGGCCTCGATACGGCAGAGACTGTTGTGCGTCTCAGTAAGTGCGGGTAAAACGTACTATCTTCCAAGAAGCCCCCAAGTGTCCTTTCAGGAAGTGGAATTGCCATAGTCATAAGGACAGGTGATGGTAGGTCTTTCTCTTTGTGCAAATCGGATTGCCCCTCCGGATATCATACTAATTTTCTTCTCAGATGCGTTCCTCGCAACAATCATGAAGCAGATTATAAAAAGGCGCCCTGAGAATGTCTTTCAGCTTGGTTTCAAGCATCTAAGTTGGGCTATGATAGCCGTCATAATTGTCTCGCTCCTAGAAGTCAGTGGTCTTGATGATAAGACCACAACACTTTGCTGACTATGGCAGGTTTTGGTCGTAAGATGGGCGAGAAGCAAGGAGTAGGTCGATTCATTAACATTTGCTGTCGCTGTTGCTGTAGGGTTGATTCCGCAATTGCTTCCTGAAATAATCAACTCGAAACTGGCGCGCGGTGCATTCGTACTTGCCAAGAATAACGCTATTGTGAAACATCTAACTTCGATTCGTACGTGCTCTCATGTCGAGCGTACAAATCTAGTCCTTGCTGGAGATCATATGGGGGTGGCATTGAAGATATGTCTAGACCTCGTGGTCGTTAGAGACTATTCCGAGCAACATATCCAGGCAACTTCAGGCCCCGATCTCGCTAGGTTAGGGGACTTCGAGTTTCATGCTATGGTTAAGCATTGCAAAATATTTGCGAAGTTCACACTGAGTTAGAAAGGTCAAGTAATTACTAGTCTCGGAGAGAAGTATGGCGATGTATTGGAATGCTAGGAGATGGTATCAATGACTGCGTTGCTCTTCGGTTCGCAGATGCTGGGATTTCCGTTGACACTGGAGCGAACGTTTCGAAAGATTGTGCTGACATTATTCTGACGAAGGAGCTCTCTATTATTGTCGACTCTGTCATCGTTGAACGAACTACCTAAGGCAATATGTTAGTCTCCTCGACCCTTAGTCTTAGGTCAAACTAATTATTTCTAGTATCACATACATCAAGGTGGTGTTCTCCTCGAATTTCGGCAAAATCTTCAGGGTGTTAATTGCCGGTTCATGATTCCATTTCAGCCGATGACAGGCCTCCAACTCCCCATCGGGGGTCTACTCTACGAAACCAGCCAACCGGCAGTTCCCTGGGACAGAATGGACCCCGAGTACCCAGTGGCTCCCTCACAATGGTGTGTCTGGGATCTCCTCCGCTTCATCGCCATTCAAGGTCCTAAATAGCAGTAAAATATATCAAATTGATAGACTTCTACTACTCTATATCTCTCTAGCAAAGTGTTCCTTGTCGACAGAATGCAAGAAGTCAGAAGAGCCGCAATATATATCCTCAATCTATGATACCGTATGCGGGGTATGCAGGCAGTATTGTACCCCGCACGTTTGTCATGCACGCGGCCTTGTTATACAAGCAGGACTCAGATCAGCCAAGTCTAGACTCGTTCTCGTTTCAGTGCAACTAACAAACACTTTATCCGTGACATACAAACAATCCAGAGGACTATTCCTGATTCACGGTGTCTTTCTTTTCCCATGCGAGGGTATACACATATATATTTATATTTATAGAAATTGCTTACTTAACCACATCACGATGTGATGTCACCAATATCACTCTCCAATCATAAAGATATCTACACTGTATCTCCATGCTTCTGAACGCACACCTGATGCGTCTTCTCCAAATACACAGCAGTGTCTGCAGCCCAACGTGTCTCGCAACCAACAAATCAGCATACAAGTAACGGTATGCAGTCAGCAGCCCCTCACCTCCTTGACTGATCTGATGCCACGGTGCATGTACTGTACGGTTCACGAAACAGGCATCCAACTTTTCCTTTTCTTCTTCTGCTTCTTCTCCATACACTGACTAGTTGCTTTTATAAAACCCATCATATCCCTTGTTCCGATTCCAAGTTCTTCGTTTTTTTCTTCAAATTACATACAAAACGAGACGGCATTCAGCTTACTCACAATGCTTCTGCGCTTATTATCATCATCACGCATAATCTGACGAATCTATTGAGGTGACTTCGAGCTGAATTGACTTGATATCATCATTATCATTATCTTCCAAAAGACACTACGATAAAAATCACTGCATTTATTATCCCTCTATAAACAGTCTACAACTTCATTCAAACCACACAACAGCAGCAGGAAGAACAATGTCTCCCTCCTACACAACCTCCTCCTCACCCCCAGCATCCCGCTCCGGCGCTCCCCCGCTCTCAATCACCACATCAATATCCACACCACGCCATCAAGTATCTGCATCCTGCACATACGTCTCCATCTCCTCCAAAACCCCCAGCTCTTCCACATCAACATCAACATCCCTATCCACCTCGTCGTCCAGCCCAACCCCCCCGTTTCCACCATTTCGTACAGTCAGCGAACCATCATTCAACACTCCACATCCAGCTCATGCACCGCTACCTACTCAACGGCGATGCACCGAACCAGGGGGTATGGTTCCAAGTGGGGCAAATGGAAGGATGGAAGGCAAGAGAAGACATAGTAACGAGGGGAAGACGAACGTGTATACGGCGTGTGGACGGCATAGCGACGAGTGGCTTTTCGGGGGGTTCAGTGTAGCGGGGGTAGTGAGGAAGATGTTGAACGGCGGTGGGAATGCCAAGGAATGATTGATGTATGTTTGCTTGACTTGATTATTTGTGTTTGTGTGGGTTATTTTGGGATTGAGAAAGAAAGGGGCGTTGGGATGGGGTAGGTAGTGGGTAGTGGGTAGTGGGACAGATTGATCGAATTCCAGGATGATGGAGGATGGAAGGAGGAGGATTGTATGTTGGTTGGTGAAGTCATGAAGCCGAGCGAGGAGGACGCGTGAAGTTGGGTTGGTGCTTCATCTAACGAGGTTTGATTGATGATTGGTTTTTCTCGACATATGATACCCCACTGCGAAGTTTTGGATTTGAATGATTGATTGATACGGGAGTTGGAAAAGTAATAATACTTGAAAGGAAAAACGGCAAGAAGTTATGCTCCTTATGGATCATCCAGGATCTTTTAATTCCGGGGTACTTACTGTAGTAAATAGACAGATAAACTGTTGGTTGCATTTCTCTCTCTATACTTTATTTTAGACATTGAAATAGAATGAAATCACAGTCTTATGAAAGAAACTTGCAGTTTTTCAAATGCTGTGTGAGATGTGCTATGATATGCTTCTTTCTGTATTATAACGGCGCGGTGCTTCCTTAATCATGCAAGAATATATTCTTTCTGTATATATATAGACAAGTAGGGATTTTTACGTGCACTCGGAGCGGAATGGTCTTGGCAGGGGAAACTTCCAGGTACACATTTCGGAAGGGGATTTTTAAATCTAAGTTGCTTTTCACTAAATCTAAGTCTTAAATCTAAGTCATCTGGTATTGCTCTTCTAGATACAGATCATCTTATTATGACGCTAACTAGCGGTGTAGCCTCCCCTCAACCTCGTCGTCGCCAGCATACTCCACTGTCACCATAGCTTCCCCAGACATCCGCCATTCGAGCGATGCCCCTATTCCCACATGGACTGAGAAGCACCTGCTTGGAGGCCCTCTCGAATCGACTACCTACCTATTAATGGCAGAATTCCTGAAGGCTACGTAGCTGGTAGAGACAGATGCGCTAGCTGATTCCCAGCCAGAACTTGACTGGGACTTATATGCTGTAGCTAGTTGAAAACCGAGTATATCCTTATATGCTATGTATTGCAGTGAGCGTACGAAAAAGTGGCAATAGCGAGGTATCAATAGCGAGGTTAGTGATAGCACCAATTGCGTACTTAGCATCATAATGAGATGATCTGTATTTAGAAGAGCAATACCAGATGACTTAGAATTAACACTTCGATTTAGTAAAAAGCAACTTAGATTTATAAATACCCTTTTGGAATCTTCAGATCACTTATCGAAGTTCTACATTGCAATGAGTGATGGTTTAGTGTTCCAAAAGCTCAACAGCATAGAATCAATTCCAGGGGATATCAAAGGTGGATTACGTTTCTACAGTCCACATAGAGAATCGAACCCGCTCGAAAACCATCAAAACGCCATCAAAGTCATCGGATGCAGCTCATGACACAGCTCAAAACGCCTATGAACAAACAAGTACCATCAGACTATTCCCAATCCTCATCCTCGCTGTCATCGCCTTTTCGTGACTCTTTAGGACTACCAGGGGCGCGACTCGGAGCACCAGAAGCGGCACCAACAACATCGTAGCTACCATCACTGTCTGCTTGAGACTTCTCGTCGTGCGATTTGCGAGATTCCTCTGGCTTCAGAAATGTATTTCCTGAAGGTTGGATTGCTGGGTGGAGTGTTGTAGATGATTCGGCGGATACAGGCCTGCCTGCTTCCTTGACTTTGGTAGGTTTGACGGGCGTAGCTCCATCGTCAGAGTCCTCGTCCCAGCCGACTTCTTCTTCCGCCGAAGCAGCTGCACCTGTATCTGTTAGTGTATGATTTCGATAATCAGGGAGGGAACTCCATACCTTTGAGTAAGTCTCGTCTCCGAGCTTCGGCGGTTTCAATGCTATGTCTGAGGAAGTAGTACCGTTTCCAGAAATCTGCATATGTGACGGTATCAGGCACAAGCTTCTCCATGGAAGTTCTCAATCCGCCGAATTTCTCCAAGTCCTTGCTGATATCATCGGTCTTGCTCTCTACGTTGAAAGTCTTAGTCCACGAATCGTATTCTTCACTAACTGGGTCCTTGGTAAAGCTGTCCGTCGATGAATGTATAGCATGGAGCTGAGCATCGAATCGAGTAGTGTGAATCACCCGCTTTCCAGACGCATCCTTACTCTCAAACAAGACCGTGCTGCCCTTCCCATCTGAGCTCTCAGAAGGGGGTGCAATGCTCACAGCATCTTTCAGGAAGTTGCTGATATTTGTTCCAAACTTCAATAGCGCCTCATCTGCAGCATCCTCCGCTTTCTGTATGTCTTTCAATCGTTTGGAAGCCTCGGTGCGTAGTCTGTCCAAGACACCTTCGGATTCCTTAAGAGCATCGTCTGTTGTAACCCCCTTCTCGCCAGCCTTCCCTGTTGTGGACTGTTCACCAGTAGGATTATGAGCTATGGAGAGGCCTCGTGTACGACTGATAAGGTTTGATCGGAGATCACCAAGGCCTTTAGATGCCTCTTCCCCTACGGCAGAGAGTTCTTGGGAGGCTTCCTTGTAGACAGATTCGCCCTTTTAATTGATTAGCCAACAAATTCCAAGCCGAAGTGCTGCATAGAACAGACCTGCTTGACTACACTTCCAAAGAAACCTCCGAGTTTGGCACCCCATGGACTGGCAGAGATAGCTTTGTATGCTTCCTGGAAGTCGGTATTGAGAGAGTTATCGGGCGGCTGTTCTTGTCTGTTTTTCGCCTCCTCTGGCGACAGAGCTTCCTCCTGGATATGGTCATATGCGAGATCCATTGCTAGGTGGTTGGTTTGCTTTTATGGGTTGATAGATGATATAAGGCGCCCTACCTCTGCTCTTGTGGTGCAGCAATGGAGCGATCATCAACGGCCACCGGCTCCGGCATGACCCGAAAAGGAATAGCGTTGTTTGCGAGCGGCAGCCTGCAGGGCAGTTCCAGAAGAGGGGTATCACGTGTTATAAGTCTGAAACCATCTTTGAGGATCTAAGCTTCCTCAAGTAGTCGGTAGTATATAATTGTACGACTTAGGGGGGTATTGATTGTTGAAAAGTCGGTTACTATTCTCATGTTGATTGTCATGCCGCCCTAAGTCCGTAGTTCATGAAACGGGACGGGTTTACGGATATATACCATTTATACCGAACCTGGCCTGGTAAGCTTGTAAATTCACTCGGAGTTTGCCTTTGCCACTCGGAACGGAGTTAGAGATTATTGCCATGCGGAGTATATATACACACTTAGTATAGCCGCCTCTCTACGAAGGAACTTGGTACCAGCAGCTGACAGCTCCTACTCTACTATATATATCGAGAAAAGCACAATGTCAATCAATATCGTAGGCCTGAGTCATCGGATTTAGAGCAGAGCCGTATGAGCAGATGAACAGATTGATTGATTGGTTGGCTGGTGGGTCATGGTCATGGTCATGCTCATGCTCATGCTCATGAATGATATCAGACGAAATACTTAAAATCAAAGTACCTCGTACTTCGTAGTTCGTACAGTACAGTAGAAGGGCGTGCGTGGGCGTGAGACTTCTTCTAAGTTCCAAAGTCCATGTCCAGCCAGCCGTACGTACCCCTGTCCCGCTGCTTGATAATCACATCGCACCCCTCCTAACTAAAATCCATCTCGACCACCTCGACCACCCCACCCATGCACGCCATTCAATGCTGAGTAGGTACAGTCCAGTCCAATCCTATGAACTAGAAAAAATCAGGCAAGAAATTCTACCTCATACATATTATTTGAGGCCACGAAACCCACATCTACAGTAAATCCCCCAGAGTCATCGATCGTCCCGCAGACCCCTCGTAGTTGAGCAGGAGCACCGTACAGTACGAGTAAGTACTAGGGGCTCTCGGCTTGACATACCCCCGCTACAGAATTGCGCTTTGCCTTTGCCGTTGCCTTTGCTACCTCCGCCACTCCAACCTCCAAAGAAAAACATCTACGTAAACCTCTCAACCAACACCTGTTCCCCCCCCCCCCGTCCGGTCTACTACGCATAAGGAATGCGTCTCAATTGAGCGCACAACCACGTTCAATACAAGCTTACCTGCCTATCTCGCAGCTAAGCACCACATACATGGATACCGCGTCTCAGCCAAAGACAATCAACCCTAATTTTACGCTCTCCGCTCGACAAGAGCAACTTCTCTTTGCAGCTCTCACTTCCAACACCAAGGACTCCAAACCCACAGAAAGCCCTAGAACCAAGACCGACAACCAGTTCGCAATGGCTCCCGACTCCTTCACCGAGTCGCCGCTGCAGGCTCCCGGTTCAGCAACCGTGAACGGCTTTGAGGATAGCCCTTTTGTTGACTACGATTACGAGTTTGATGGAGATGGAAGCTTCGACTATGATTTCAGCAACGACTCTCAAGGACAAATGATTGGAAACTTACCAGGAAGCTCGTCCGATGGCGATGCAGATACACATGATAAGCGAAGCCATCCTGATGATGACGGTGGTGAGGATGAGGAAGGAGGTGGAAAACGTAGAGAAAGCGACGAGAAATCATCCAAGAAGCCCGGAAGAAAGCCTTTGACGTCCGAGCCTACTTCTGTGAGTTCCCTCGATAGATCTCCGTCATATCGCAATAGTCACTGATGCTCTCTCATAGAAGCGCAAAGCTCAGAACCGTGCCGCTCAACGAGCATTCCGGGAGCGCAAGGAGAAGCACCTTAAGGATCTAGAGTCAAAGGTTGAAGACCTTCAGAAGGCTTCAGAGTCTGCCAACCACGAAAATAGCATTCTACGTGCACAAGTAGACAAGATGACAGTGGAGTTGGTCGAATATCGCAAGAGGGTCTCCACCAACGGAGGAATCGCCCGGAACTCATCCTTGAACAATGGACTTCCACCATACCTTGCCGGTAAGGGTCTGAATGGAGGCCTGAACAATCCCAACGACGTCAACTTTCAGTTTGAGTTTCCTAGATTTGGCCGCCTTCCAGGCGCTCTTCCAGCTCAAACCTCTATCCTCAATGGCGCCAGACAATCGGCTTCACCGACTGCTACAGCACAAAAGACCAATTTGCCTAGTCCTACTGACAAGGACTCGGTCAGCCCGCGGAACCAGTCACTGCAGTACCCAGCAAGCAATGGTTCAAAGGCTGGTTTGACCCAGTCGCCTCCTAAGCTTGACAACGGTGATATGTCTAGTCTTTCCGGTCTTTTCAGCCCCTCAATACTTGAGACTGTGGGGAAGAGTCCGGAATATGATTTCTTTGGCAACGCTATCAATACGTCGAATGGTTCTAGATCAAGCACAGATTCCGCCAATGGTAACGCGAGCACGGGGCACAATACCTCATACAGCTCACCCTCAGCATCCTCAAATTCAAACCAAGGTCCAAGCTCGTCTTGTGGTACCTCTCCTGAACCAGCTTCTATGCAATCACCAGTCTACAACAAACCTGCTGATCCTACATTGACTACAATCGGAGAGGAACACTGTCTAAATACTACGCTCGGCCCAGGTGAGCTCACCTTCTGCGACAAGCTCAACATGGCTTGCGGCAATCCAAACAATCCCATCCCCCGTACCCTGTCTGAACCTTCTCCAGGAAACCTTGATACTCCTTCCCTCGACATCAATGGCATCGACTGGTTCGCCCAACAGAATGGCAACCAATTCGACCCACAACTCTTCGGCGATTACCGCGAGCCACAGGAGAACATTCTCTCGGGTGACAACTTCGGAGACAGCTTCTTCACCGACGCCTTCGCCATGCCTGACTTCACCAGTCCGTTCAACGCCGAACCAAGCCCTGCTGCAGCCAAGAAAGACCTCGTGGCGCAAATTGACGAGAAGCAGAACGAAGACGACGAGGTTGTCCCTGGCGAGGATACTTCTAAGCTGTTGAACTGTAACACCATTTGGTAAGACCCATTCCCGAATAGCCTATTAACCATCTCTAACGCACCTACTTAGGGATCGTCTACAATCATGCCCCAAGGTTAAGGAAGGCGAGTTCGATCTCGATGTCCTATGCAAGGATCTACAAAAGAAAGCCAAGTGCTCCGAAACCGGCGCCGTGGTCAACGAGTCGGATTTTAACAAGATTATGAATTCGTACGTGGACAGCAACAAGGCTGGCAAGGCTGCTGGCAAGGCTGCTAGCAAGGTTTAGAAGCGCATGTCGTCAACACATTGGTTTTTTGGATTGGCGCAATATTAAAACGGCCTGTGCATCTCGCCTCGGGGTATGGAGAAATGAATTGCACAATTGACAAGGCGTCGACCGAATTAACACTTCTATCTGAAGGTGTAATTGGTGTGGGATTGGGGGACTTTTTATGATGCTTTATGTATTTGGATTGGGGTTTGGCTTTCGGAGTTCTTGGTTTCTATTGTACTTGATTCGTCATCTACACTTTATGCTACATTACAGAAATATCAGAAACGTCTCTTCACTACTCTCCTCTCCTCCTCATCAGAAGCTCAAATTGGCAGTAGTGAGTGAGTCCTTAAACCTAATTCCGAGACTGTAGCCCGACCAGCTTCCCCCGCATCTTGTGCAACCTCTGATCTTAAAGGGATCTCTAAGATGTATGTATGTATGTATGTATGTATGTATGTATGTATGTATGTATGTATGTATGTATGTATGTATTGACCCCTCCCTCACTTACATCAACCCCCCTATAAATTCTCATCCCGAAATAACTATGAACTGAACCACGCACAAGCACGAGTAAAAGCAAGAGCAAGAATCGAACCCCTCTTCAATCGATAAAGCATAAGGTAGATAGCAATCAGAATAAATAAAACATGCATACATACTCTCAAATTACATCCATCATCCCCCCCCCCCCCACCCCCCGCCCCTTCTAACCTAACATTCATTCATTCATTCCTCTCCGCAACCCCAACCAACCCATTTCTCAAGAAGCGTTATGACATTCCATCTATCTACCTACCTACCAGTTTGCTTTTCGTGGGAAGTAGTACAGGAGATGAAAGAAAGGTACGGTATGCATCGTTAGAGTATATGTATGTTTGGGGTCTTGGGTGTACAGTGGTGGATAAAAATGAAAGTAGGGGGTTTGGGGACGAGAGGAGGAAGGAAGAAGGTGTATGGTGGGGGGCTGTAGAGGATTTGAGGAAGGATATGGAGAGGGATGTGGGTATGGGTATGGGTATAGATGGTGAGGTGTTTATATGTTGTATTGTGCTATGTTGTATTATGGTCGGAAAAGGTACGGGGGGAGGAATAGAGGAACCTGAATGTGTATTTGAAGAAGATACACAGGTAGGGTAGGTAGGCGTAAGAGATTGGGTTGGGTTGGAGGAAAGAAGCAGGTGGGGGGCAAAGAAGTCCGAGGAATAAATAACTGCTTCTGGAATTAGGTAGATTATATATAACCTATTCCTACTTGAAAGAACTATCACTCTGATTGGGATGTTGTTTGTTTATAAAGAACCCGAAGACCTATGAGGTAAACCAATGATCGAGGCTTAACATATTATTAATTAGTACTTCTGTGTAGGTAGCAAATACAACGCCCCTCAGGACACACATTAAATGAAATAAATCTATGAATAGCAACTGATATTTGGCATCATATCTACAAGAACACCAATACCTATAATCTAATTTAACCTCTGGTATCAGCTACCTCCGGCCACCTATCCGCCAAAGTGTTTCCGGTCCGCTAAGCAAACTAGCCAGCAATTCTTCCTCCTGTCTGTCGTCACTTCTTTCCTCTTCATCAGAAAAGCCTCGACATGACTATATGTGCGTGTATGCGTAGGCGTATGCGTATGCGCCGTGAACGTGATGAAAAGAAAATCAAACGACTCCCGCTCGCTATGTTATTACAATGCAAATGCCTTACGCGACCAATTTCACATCCCATCAAACAGAAGCGCAATGATCCACCATCCCATATTTTCCCCTCGTGAGAGGATCCTCAATCTGTTCTTTGTTCATCTCTCCATCTGTTCTCAAGCCTCAAGCTTTATCTTTTCTTCCCCAGCTCCGGTCGCCAATACTCTTCGCAGAGCTCTTTCCTTTGGGTTGCGACTGGGGGGGAGTTGATTGTTATAAAACACCATTGCTAATGACAACCCTCGCGCCTTCCTTGCCTAGAATCCCGCGCTCTTGTGGCTTGGGACTGTGGCCTCTGCCTCGCTTTCTGTTCAAGAAACCGAGCATGCCCGTTGGTTTCTGCGCTGCTTCGATCAAGTTGGCGTCTGCAGGTAATGTAGCATCCTTTCTCGCTAGCTCGGACCAGCTTCCACCCTCACCGAGGACAACTTGTACGCCGCCGCCTTGGGACTCCTTTCTTGTGCCTGAGGGGCGGTGTTGTCGGTTGTAAGAGGCCTGGTAGGGTGAAAGTGGTGCGGCTACGCCTATTTCGGATCTTGAAGAAGCGTGTCGGTGGTTGTTCGGTCGGGGATGTGAGGTTGGTTGAGACGCCATTACGTTTTGTCGTTGTTGCCCGTTGGGTTGCAGGTGTGATTGGCCAGGTGGGGAATCTGACGGCGAAGCTGGTTGTGATTTAGATGGAGATTTAGTGAGCTTTCCTTTTCTTGAAGCTGGTCGGTCATCTATAGATCTGGGAGCTGATCCTTGGGACGTAGTACTGGCAAGGGGACTTCCTTCAGATTTGCTTTGTGGCACTGGTGGCGGCTGCGTAGTTGGTGGCGACTGCGTATGTGGAGTGTCGCCGGGTGAAGAGTTCGCATCTAATGCTCCAGCATATCTATTTATGGTTAGTTGGAGAACTGGCATGGAAGGTATGGTACAAACCTCTCGTACGCTGCAGTCGTGTAATCGAATGGCAAGAACTGAGCTTCTATCATCTTGTATAATTCATCCTCTCTGATTTCCTTGTCCGTTGCATTGTCCTTGAGCTCCTCTCTTGGCTTCTGTCTCCGGGCTCGAGCTTCTAAAGGTGCTTCTTCTAATAGAAGCTCCTCAAGGTCGTAGGTGGCATCGAAATTCGTCTTCTCCGCATTTGGGACGAAGACAGGCTCGACTTCCTTCTTCTCTAGAGCCTCAAAATCTAAACATCTGAAGAATGGATTATCGGTGAAGCTCTCGAAACTCATCGACCCCATACGTTTTTTAGGATCTTCCTCAAGTGCAGAACTAATTGCATGCAAACAGGGCATTGAGACTGGTGGTGCGGTAACGGGGAAATTGGGGTTGGCTTTTTTAATTGCTGCAGACAAAGCACTTTGCGTGCTTCCCTCGAATGGCCGCTAGAAAGAACATGTCAGCCAAATGGATAGCAGCATTTTCACAGTACATACCTTATTGTAAATGCACTCATAAAACAAAACGCCTAGTGACCACCAATCCGCTCCGGGTCCGTACCCGGTACCTGAGTAGACTTCAGGTGCAAGGTATGCTAGAGTGCCAGACTTGCTAGTAAGAGCCTTCCCTACATAATCCGATGCAACATTCTACTAGAAGTTAGTAGGCGTCCTCTCTTCAAGTATAGCAGGAGGTTGACTTACAAAGTCTGCCAAATGTATATGCCCTTCGGAATCCAGTAGAACATTATCCGGCTTGATGTCTCTGTGTATTATTCCCTGTCCATGGATATATCGCAAAGCACAACCCAGCTCTGCAATCCAAAATCGAACAGCGTCCTCGGTGAACGTCTTTCGCGAGATGTGGAATCGTAAATCTCCGCCACTCATCAAATCGACTACAAGATACCTAACAGTTCCGCGTTAGCAGAGATCGAAGCTAGAGCTTTTCGACTGCTCACATATATTCGATGTCCTGAAAACTATATCGCATATTGCAGATGAATTGGTAATTCAAGGACTCCAACATCCGCCGCTCTCGCAATATATTCCGCACGCTTTCCGATCTAACAACTGCATAACAACCCATCAGTACGTTTTGCAGACGCAGAAGTTGGAAGCCCAACCTTCATCTTTGCGGATATACTTCAGTGCGAATGTCAATCCAGTATCTTTCCGCTCAACGATTCGAACCTTCCCAAAGGCGCCCTTTCCTACAACTCGTAACAGCCGAAAGTGGTTCAGGTTCACTGCAAAACCACACGATAATTAGCTGGACTCGGGAACACAAGCATAATAGACTACCGCAGCGGGGTGCATGATTGATGCTTGCTGCTGGCTACAGTTCTTCGTAGAGCCCCACGTACCTTCATCAGAAAAGCACACGGGCTTGCCTTGACCATTCCCCATGGGCGCGGTGAAATCGAATGATCTGTCTATCTGAAGGAGAATTGAATAGTGTCGTTGCCAACAGGCATATTAGTAGATGCAGGACAATTGATCATGCGAAGTCAAGGAGAGTTGTTTTTGGAGGCAAGTACGCCTGGTCCAGGAGTGAATGTAGCTAGCAAGCGAGCAAGGTGCCGATCTCGAGGTTGCAATTGCCCGTACGGAGTACAATCTCAACAACGCAAGCAAGCAAGCGATAACGAATTGTGTACTGCTGTGCTGCGACGTTTTTCTGTGCCTCTTCAATCAAGATGGAAACACAAAAATGCCGTTGGCCGTGTTGCTGAAATAAAATTATGGCGGAATTATGGCGGTGGCAAGGCCACGACCAGAATAGAATCCGAGTGTTGATCAAAGGGGTTGTTGATTGACCTTGAATTGAGGAACGTTCCTCCAGCGGCCTATGCTGAGACTTCACTTTACTTCTTCCTTTTTCCCGCCTGTAACTAGTCGGGTCGGGTCGTTGTCTCTGTCGTATTACGGTATAATGGATGCTCCGCTCCCCTCTCACTCTCTCTCTCTCTCTTTTCTCTCCAAGTTGCAGATGATGGTTCTTGGTCCTGAACAGCCGAAAATAAGATGCAAACACCCTGGGACAAGCATGTCGCTTTATAAAGCTCGCATAGGGCCAGCCCAGAGGGATTGGCCCGCTGTGGGCACTGAACAAGTGGACAGCTCCATAGAGCCCCTGTCAATAATAGCGAATGGGACGGCCAGTGGCCGTTCGCAGGGACTAAGCACATGGGCGGAAACGAGAGGAACATGGGCAACGCATGGCAAGCATGAGGGTAGCCCGATTGGAGACCTAGAAGTCCGCTAGAAAACGCCATGATTTCGATCGCCTCCACCGGGGGAGGGGTCCTAGAGTACATAATTAGGATAAGAGGACACAGTCAGAAAGGAATTCCTTTTGTCTACTTCTAGAAGGTTTGTCAATCTCATCTCATCAAGAGATGCCCCTGCGAGATGTCAAAAGCTGAGGTTTATAGAATTAGGATCTCCTACGCTATCACGGTTACCGGATACTATACAACCCCTTACCCCAGGAGCCCCTATTCCAGTGAGAGCTCGTCGTATCAGGGAGGGCGGATATGAGAGAGAGTACGTAGAGACTGCGTCAGATATAACCTTACCCAGCTACTTACAGTACTGTACAGCTCATGGAACTCGTCAATCATCACCTACATCGGACAGGAGTAATATCCATGTTCGGACAGTTCGGGGAAGAGTATACTCCCTGTGCGTTATACATACAACTGCCTACGGAGGTAACCTTATTGATATTTGTTTAGGATTCATCAGTTCTCTGATCAAACCCTATTTTCTATCCTGTCAAATGCCACAAGCGCTTTTCAATTGTTTTTGCATTCCTGGAGTTCTTGTGTCAAAGTTGTGTACTTTCCTTGTCCCTGCTCTGCTCTGCGACTAAGCATTGGCCGAGTCGGCTTGATCTTATTCTCCGTTCACCCCTGCTACATAGACTCGGACGGATAACCTAATCCTTGGGGGCAAGATGCAGATCTCTTTGAAAACCAGATCTTGGCCAGTTTTGCTGAGACTAACCCTAGCTGTTTCAGGTGCGTATATCTAACTCCTCACTCATAATTTGAGGAGGTCAGATCTACTCCGTAGATATACATATTCAGGCTGAGACGAGACTGGGAAAGGTCAGATGACAAAGGAATTTGAGACTGCACTGCAGTTCGTATGATCTTCATCGAGATCTACTCGTGCTGATAAGTAGGTGGTCATTCAACGTCACGACTGAAGGATTTTCAGGAGTGGTTAATCCAGATCCATCATCACAAAATCTCGGTGCTAAAACACCTTTGATATGTACGATAATAATAGTATCTCAACCTACCGCTGAGAACGCGCGATAAACGCGATCTCGATTATCGCCCTGAAACTTGACAAACTACTTCCTACTTGCCATGTGCTTCTTATTCGAAGGAGCAACACGCCATTAAACCTCCGAATAACACCCACCGCCTTTTCTTCTCCAAAGCAACAGTAGCCACGTGTACGTGTACGTGACGACCGACTGTAAGGGGCATCAGGACATTATCTCAAACACCTCGTCGCCGCGTACCTGCAGTACCTCCAAGCACGTGAATTTAATGGAAGGTCCAGCTTCCCTTCTAGAACGAGTCTCGAAAAAAGAAGACGCCACACGTACTCCGTACACTCTGTCTGTAACATGTCGTGAGCCTCGGTGAGGATTCCCACGTGGCTTCTTCACTATTAACCGCCACGCTTCCATACCTCCAGTTCCTCCATCTCACGATATCCTCCCGTTTTTCTGTTCTCCTTTCAGATTTCTGCGATTTCTTCGCAGTTCACTTTAAAGCGTGCAGTAACGCTGGACTGGTAAGCTTCCTAACTCCAATTTCACATCCAATTGAACGCCGGCCTTCCCGCGGCTCCCATATAATATTATGCTATTTTCGGACACCTCCTTTACGACCCGGTACCGCGTACTTCTTACCTACTTATGTATGTCTTGACTCGGCCTTAAGCGAGACTGCCTGCTCGCGAGCTGACTGCTCCTGCAGCAGTTGCGTGCCATGTGGCTGCTCCTATAGTAACTCGTTTGGGGTGTAGCAACTCTTTTGGGCAGCCCAGAAATGTTGGAAAAAAGCTCTTTTATGCGTGCGCCCGAAAAAGAAGATGACTTGTTTTCTGAATTAACATAGGTTGAGAGGGATGGATGGCCTTGTTTTCACCTTAAGTCCGAGAGCTAGTTTTGTAAGCGTGTGATTGAAGCGTGGAGGAGGAAGCCTAGATTGCTTCGACCGCACGGAACAGATACCGACCTCAGCTGCCAATTTAGCCCTCCCCTTAGACTAGGCCTACTCTACACACGAGTAGGTTTCTTACTCGCGTCTCGTACTGTAGAACACGAGTCATAGTGTTTTCATCAGGGCTTGATTATACTCTTGTTTCGTAGACTTCTGATAAGGAATGCGGTCCGGCTCGTTGACGTGGATAAGGCTCAAGGGTAATTTCAGGGATAATCCAAACACAAACTTCACGCGGGGGAGTCTAGAACATGCAATGTTAGGTTAGTTCTAGTAGTTCTTTCTGTGAAAGCAATCACATATGTACAACTGCAGAGATACTAATAAACAGCCTCTCCCAAGACCTATAGCCCGGACTCTTGTTAGTCAGACAGCCATTCGTTACATGATAACATTCCAGTCCACGCGTCAATGGGTAACGCCCATGTAAATGCAAGCCCCAAAATGCCCGCTCCGGCCCTGAATGCACACAAGCCAGGCTGAAATGCGTTGAAGAATGGTATTCGCAAAGTAAAAATCAAGGAAAAGCAAAAGCCAAAAGTACACAGCCAAAAATTCCGTCCTGCAGCGTGTTGATACAGTAGTCTGCTTTATTCCCGCATTCACAAGCCATAGGAATGAACACAATGAGATGGCCTTGAAGAGCGAGGAAGAACAAGGTAGAACAGCTGAGGGAGTATCAATAACGGGGCTTGTTGATGGCGTCTTTGATGAGGAGAAACAGTGCAACACAGAGACGGTATATTTAGATTGCCGAGCCACATATGGTTACAAAATTAATAGTCGTCCTCTTGGGCTTCTCGGAGAGGTCGACCGAGCTGGCTCAGTAGAGCATCCAGATCCTTCCAGTTCTCGACCTTTTCAGCAAATCGCCTGTGCTTTCGAGACAGGACGTGCTGTGGGTTATGTTAGAGACAGTACCAATATAAGAATGCGGAAGGACCATACCTCGTCGAAGTCTTCGAATTTATCCTGGCAGTTTTCACAGTATCCTGGCTTTGGATCTCGTTTCTCTATTTTCCTCTGCTGCACAGCCTTTGCCTTGCGAGTAGCCTCAATCTTCCTCGCATCTTCTTCGGCCTCGGAAGGATTCGTGTCTTCATGGATAAGTTCGAGTTTCTCCTTGCGCCTCAAAGGTCTGCTTTCCTCTCTGACAGTAGCATTGAGATCTGTCAGACGGTGCGAGCTGGTCAATCCATGCGAGCTGGTCCGCCACTGTTTTTTTCGAGCACTTTCCTCTGCAATCCATGGACTTCCTTACTGGTTCCAGCCTTTGCTCCAGGTTGAGCTGCTGTTGACGAGATCATTTGTGACCGGATCGCCGAAGTGATATTCGATGGTTGCACCCCTGATGCAACAGGCTCTCCACCAAAGAGGCGTCCCGCTCCAGCACGGCTGACAAAAGCATTTTGATTTCCTCGAGATGAAGCTTCAGAGTCTGTTCGATGGGGGACAGAGGCCTTTGAAGGCGCAAAAGGGTTGGCTTGTCTCGTTGAGACTGTGATGTTCCTGTTCCCGCTGTCTTCCATTTCGGACAAACCCCGCTTGCCAGTAATGGCCCTTGGTGGTTGCATCTTGGAAGCTTCAGCTGCTGCAGCTCTAGTCCTTGGAACCATAGACTTTTCTTTCTCCTGCTGCTTTTGAAGCCGGATCAATTCTTTCTCTTTCTCGGCGTCCCGCCTACTATAATCAATTTCTTCAACAAATGGACATTTGCCATTAGCCACGCTCCGGAACTGTGGCCAATCGCCGTCTTCTTTGTGCGAGACTTTAGCATATTCTCGTACCATGATCGGCCGTTGTTTCTCATCAATATCGTGAACATAAATAAAAGGTCCTTTAAACAAAGTCAGTTCCTTGGTAACCACAGTCGGGTCTCGATCTGAGGGTCCATTTATTCTCTCGTTTCTCAGAAGCTGTTGCAGGTCCGCTGTGTTTCGAGGATCATTGGTCGATTGTACTGCGTTACTCCTGGTATTATGCCCGTGGGCTGTCTGGTAACCAGTGTCCGTATCAAACATAGTCGTCATCATTCGTTGCAATTTTTCAAGGGCCCATATCTTCATGCCCAATTCTCGGGCTCGGTATAACACGTCCGCATTACGTGTGTGCTGTTTCTTGACTTCTGCTTCATGGCCCTGAGGTCCTAGTCTTCTGCTAACTGGTGCTTCGAATGTAAATTTTCCTTTTGTTCCAAAGGTTTCTGAATGTACATTGGTAGTCTCAGATGACCTGTCAAGCAAAGAGGGATTAATAGTCTGAGGTTGGCTGTTTTGTGATGTAGATTCGTTCGTAGTGGAGGATGCTACAGCTGCGTCTGCTGGGCTGATTGCTGCTGGAGGGGTTCGAGTAGTTACAACGTGAGTAACGGCATTGGAAAAGAACTTTTCTTCCCGCTACACAGGTTGTTAGAAATGCTTTGTTGGTGACCTACCTAGTAAAGAAACTACTTACTGCACCGAGAGCAATCACTTGCTTTGTGTACTTCAGACGAACATCTTCGGGTATACTCTCGAAATAGAAGACAAACGTCGGGAAGATCTTCCGATAGTGCTTCTGCCATTGCCTTATCGTGTCTAGATTCTCCTCCGATGTCCTGTCTGCCTTTGTCACTACCTGCTGCTGGACAGGCTTGTCTCTAACTGCAACGAGTTTGCGTTCGAAGGAGGACTGTTGCGAGGCATTGGACTTCCTGGTAAACACTCGACCTTCGACGGTAGACTGGGTACTCTGCTGGCGTGGTGGTGTTCTCAAGACCTGGTGAACATCCAGCATCTGCTTCTTCGCTGGTGGAGGTTGTCCGTATGCATCTTCGCGTTGTATGGTGGCATAGGACCGTTTCTGCTTAGCGGCAGCGCCTTGCAAGGCGCGATATGGCGAATTGGCGGCATTGGGATTATTCGACAGAGGGACTCTCCGAGTGGACATAGTGGACAAAGTTTGAGGCAATGGTGATATTGATACTGCTGCCATAAGAAAGTATCTTGAATCCTCTGGCACCCAGAGACTTGGGGGGGAAGGAGTGGGGTGTGCACGCGACAAACACGTCCAAGCAGCTTCGGACGAGGTTTATAAAGGCATTGGGAATAGATGATGGTATCCTCGTTCAGACAACTCAGTGCAGGCCGTGAGTGCACAGGTCAAGGAGCGTGGTGGGGATAAAGCTGAAGAGTATTTGGGAATACCTTGAGGTTGGGTGCTGAATGTTTGGAGCTGTCAACAAAAGCTTGAGTCTCTTGGAGCGGCTGGCGGTTGGACCCGCTTTCAGAACGCGCCTTCTCCTCCACAGCAACCCGCCTAGTGCTGATTTGCTACACTACTCGTGCTACTGTGCTTGTATGCATAACATTTATATTTGTGTACTCCGTCCTGCAAGTTATGCTTAGAAGTACATACAAACAAACACCCAGATGACCCAGATGCGACCATCTCAAACTTGACTATTAGTATCACATCACAGACAGTCTTTGCACTACAGTATGCAGGCGAGGAAGTCTGCTCTGCAGCAATTGAAGCAGGCGTCCAAGTGTCTGCAATGCGCTGCAATTGCCCCGCGAAACGCAACGCTGCAGGCCTCGAGCAGATCGTATGTTACGAATACCACTGCAGAAATACAATCCCATAGCACACGTCCAACTATATCCAGTTTGGGATCAAGGTGCCGTGCGACTGGCCCCTCCAGAAGAACATACGCTGCGATATCAGCAGCAGAGCTACAATTTGGCCAGCCAGTCCATGAGACCCATCCACATCTGCTGAGGGCGGGGGAAAGTATGTATCAGCTTGTGGGCTGTCTACAAAATCTCTGCTGATAGGCTCTTGTCAGTTACTCCAGGAATTACTGCACAGGAATACGCGGATCGACGGTCGAAACTTGCTGCGAGCCTCCCCCAAAATGGTATAGCGATACTAGCATCATCAGATACCAAATACCGTTCCGGGGCAGTCTTCTACGAATTTCACCAAGAGCCAAACTTTCTATACCTCACTGGATTCAATGAACCCGAAGCGGTAGCAGTTATACAGAAAATTGGATCCGGATCCGACTATACATTTCATCTTTTCCTCCGACCGAAAGATGCGAAGGCGGAACAATGGGATGGTGCTAGGTCAGGAGAACAAGCGGCATTGGATGTCTTCAATGCAGATGAGGTCCTTCTCTCGTTGGACAATCATGTAGACGATGCTGACATGACTATAGTCAGCAGATATCAACAAATTACATTCCTTGCTCCCACCGCTCATCTCAGCCGCCAGTGAGGTCTACACGGACATGGCCAAATGTTCTGGACTCGGCCTGTTCTTCCGAAACCAAGAAGCACCCCCAAATGACTTCCAGAAGATGCTCAAGGACCGCAAGGTGAAGCCACTAAGGCCTCTGATGAATGAATTACGAATACTCAAAAGCGAAGCGGAAATTGCTAACATGCGGATGGCGGGAAAGATATCTGGAAGATCATTCACAAATGCTATGCGTCAGCAATGGACCAAAGAGAAAGATCTTGGTGCTTTCTTCGATTATGATTTTAAGATCGGAGGTTGTGAAGCTACTGCCTATATTCCGGTCATCGCAGGAGGGCAGAACTCATTGAGCATACATTATGTCCGAAATAACGACGTTCTCAAAGATGGCGAAATGGTTCTAGTCGATGCTGGTGGAGAGTACGGAGGCTACATCGCCGACATTACAAGAACCTGGCCGATCAACGGGAAGTTCACTGACCCTCAGAGAGACCTTTATGAGGCAATCCTTGGGGTCCAAAGGAGTAGCGTTTCTCTATGTAGAGAAAGTGCAAATGTGACATTAGATAAGATCCACCAAATTACTGAGTATGGATTGAAGGATGCTTTAAAACGACTCGGATTCAATATGTCAGGCAACGCTTTGGAAACACTCTTCCCTCACCACGTTGGTCATTATGTTGGGCTGGATGTACATGATTGCCCAGGCTATCCTCGAACAGTACCTCTCAAAGCTGGTCACTGCGTGACTGTGGAGCCAGGGATATATGTTCCAGACGATGAGCGTTGGCCAGCGCATTTTAGAGGGATAGGCATTAGAATCGAGGACAGCGTCTGTGTTCAGGATGATTCACCTCTGGTCTTGACAACGGAAGCGGTGAAGGAGGTCGTGGATCTTGAAGCATTGCGGGATTGATGATTAATGCATGCAATAATGTACAGTAAACTGTACAAAAACTGTATAAATAGAACAATAATATATTCAAATTCACATTTTACATATTTGAGTCGCATGTCACATGCTGCTAGCCTTCTCTCGCAACTTCCCCAACTCGCAGCCTTGTCAAACTCACATCACCCACCTTACTCACCAAGAGCTTAGAATCTTCTACAAAATCCTCCCAAACAGTAGCGCAAAAATGGCCTCTTCTGACC